GTAAATGTGATAACTGATATCACAATCATCACACAAAATCAAACGACCCTCGTCATTTCTTTCGCCACAACCTTCGCATACTGTACAATCAAGGCACCGCCAACCCTTTTGCAATATTACTTTAGTAACTTTGACGTTAGCGCAATAAGGGTGATAGCATTGACCACATTGTGCACAAGCAATTAAACACCCCTCTTGGTCAGTGCCAATTGCACCGCACATTACACAAATATCTTGGGTCAATACAAATTTATCTTTTGCAGAACATAATACAAGTCTATTTTCAATGCCTGGTTCATCTTCCTTTGAAAATGAATCTGACATTGGTCTCTGAAATAATTAATAAATAAATGGTCAATTAACAATAACATTATAGCATTATAACATTTTAAGAGACTCATACCTGCAATCCTACACCAGGTACACCAAAGATACCCCTCATTTTTGCTTTGGGACCTCTTTTCCTTCCAAATTCTGTCATCTTTTGTCGCTTTTGATATCCAAGTTTACCAATTCCTTTTGGCCGCCCAATAATTCCACCTCCTAGTCCTAATCGCTTCTTTGCAATTTTAGATGCGCAGAATGGTTTTCCTTTTCCAAGACCTATAGAATACAGTGCTTCCTCTGATCCTCCCTGATAATCAAATTCTGACGAATCTCCATCACCATACAGACTTTCTTGCGATACACTTAAACTCAAATCCCCACCATAATCATCAATATTATCTTTTCTTTTTACAAGTGCCATATTTTTGCAGTGTAAACAAACATATTCATAGTCAGGTTTAATGTCTTTACGATGTTGGTAAGTTAATGGATCAGCCTCAGGGTCACAGGTACCATGAACAAATTTTTTACATGCACTACATTGAACCATTTCTCTATACGCGGCAGCCCGATATGCCTTTCTACAAAGAGGACACGAAAAACCTTTGTTCCTTTGTTGGTAACACGAATCACATACAGTGTAATGGGAATGCCACCGTGATGAAAGACCAGCGCCTGGTGTACGCGAACCACAGTCTGTACATACACGGCAGCACTTACACTTCCAACCATATTTAGGTATAGATGTAACAATTGGTCGTAAGCAACCAGGATGATACGCTTTTTCACAACGTTCACACAACATTACTTTTGAAACATCTTCTGGTTGACGGCACACTTGACATACTCTGCAAGATACACATTGCCAACCAGCTCGTACACCAGGTAGTAATGCTAGACCAACACAACTACCGTGATAGTGTTGGCCGCAAATGGAACACATTACTAGGTTGGAAACATCTCCCATTCCACAGCAGTGCATACAAGTAACATCACCGTTCACTAGAAAACAGAATATATGAAAATATACACCTGATATACATAAATATTTTATACAAATATACTATACACATTGTACACAAATTTTACTAGACAAATTATTGCACGGCACTTACATAAAAGTGGAACTTGTCCCAAATGTTGACTACAAAAGAGGGACAAACTCTTTGTATCCTGAAAACAACTTGAGGCTGCAGCACATGGTAAATGAAAATAACGATTGCACGATGCCACCTATTTAAAAAAAAAAAAAAAAAAAAAAAAAAGAAAAAAAGTATATTATAATACCAAGTAGAATTATTTATATTTGTACAAAAGAAGTTTTTAAAAAATATATAGAAGGAACAACACCGACTTTGCAAGGAATTCCAGCTCCATAATGAGAACAATAAGCACAACGTCTCGATGAAGCTTGTACTATCGCTGGACTCAATAATTCCGTTGTTAGTTCTTGGGTGTTGCTTGACCATACTGCGCAAGACTGATGAACATAATAGTGCCCAGTTGACTCAAATAACGTTCCTATTTCCGGTTCTTCCGAATATCCCACTATAGTTAATTCTTCCACTGGTTCCGAAAAATTTGTTAGACTAGTATTCCTATAAAAAAATAATTTGATTATCATAACACGAAATAACTTTATAATAATTCATTGCAAGTCTTAAATACCTGCACTTTGCTAGACTCTTTTGTCTACGGCAAGTCACAGCACCAGGACCTGCTGCACGCGGACTTTTATCTCCGGTAGATATATCAACAAGGTGATCAGTTGTTTCGTCACGATTAGTTGACTTTTCAGGGGTAAAACCTTCAGGACAGGTAAATCTTAGCAACTCACCCTGACCTAATTGACTTCTTTCACCCAAATTACATAAAGCACATACTTTCCCTGGCCTAGAAAATTAAATGGTCAATTACTCTAGAGATATAAAACATTAA